GGCAGAATTCTGTGAGTTTGAGGCCAGCCAAAGCTACTTAGTAAGAACTTGCATAAATAAATAAATAAATAATCCCTACTTGTTAAATATTTTAAGTGTCTGCATAATATCCCTTTGAGCTACCATAAATGTTGATTTTTCCTGTCACTAAATATAGTGTTTTCTGCTAAACACCCTAAAATGTTGTATTCAATTTTTTTTTTTTTTTATTCCTCACTTTGCAAAACTTTTCTGCAATGTTTAATCCCTCCCACCAGGGAAAAGTTTTGTAAACATACAGGGCCTGCTGCATTCTCAGAACTAGGCGTTGGAAAGGCTGTGAGGCTGCTGGCTCCCAGCCAATGGGAGTAGACCCAGTCACTAGTGTCTTACAATAAAAACCAAGAGACCTCCTCACCCACTCCCACACCCCTACTCCCCCCACCCCCGCCCTTGCTTTTCCCTTTTGTAAGCAGCACACCCTTCTGATCAGACATGGAGTTTCTGGAGACTCATTAATTGCAATGCAGTGTCTTTCCTTGAGACCTTGAACTAACACACTAAGGTTCTTTCCATGTTCTTGCTATTTTATATCTAGTGTTTCCACAAACCTCTCTGTATGGATATTTTTCTGCACAGAACTTCACTGTTCTTTTGAGATACTTTATTCTAATAAATTCCAAGGTGTATAATGTATGAGCCAAACAATAGAAACTACTTTTTTTATTCGTTGTTAGATTCCTGGTTCTTTGGTTTGCTGATTAGTCACTTGCTTGAATTCTGTGCTTGTATTTGTTCCTTATAAGAGCTTGACTCATCCTTGCTGCTGGCTGTTGGGTTTTCCTGCAGAGGAATCCAACTTCTGTGTCAGGAGCTGCTGTAAAGCAGCAGGTCTGGAGAGTCTGTGAATACAGCAGGGACATGCATCGCTGCTGTGGGTAACTACTGTGCAGTGGGGAACTCTTCTCCAAAGCAGTTAAGAAAATGAAGCAGCATTAGGAACAATGTAGGGAAGTTAAGAGCAATCAAATGAACAACCAAACCTACTAAATACTCAAGAAATAGGAAGGTAAAGTCTCAGACAAGTGTTTTAAAGACCACATAGACTCTCACTGTCTTGGGACTTGATTCTGCATACTAAGTGAAGGTTTGTTTTTCGAAACAGGCTCTCTTGAAATAGCCTCAAACTCACTATGTGGCTGAGGCTGGCCTTGAAATACTGACCCTCTGGACTTTATTGTTTATGTTGCTCTTGGAGTCTCAGCTGGGGTGTGGTGACGCACACCTATAATCTTAGCGCTCTGGGAGGCAGAGGGAGGCAGATCTCTGTGCGTTCAAGGCCAGCCTGGTCTACAAAGTGAGTCCATGACAGCCAAGAGAAACCTGTCTTGGGGGTGGGAGGAAATAGGGTCTCACTATGCTATCCAGATTGGTTCCTGGACTCAGGACACTCTTCCGCTTCAGTCTTCTGAATATTTGGGGCTACGGGCATGTACCACCACTTCTACCACAACTGTTCTATTTTCTTTTGTATATATTATAGAAATTATAAATAATTAACTCATCCCAGCCTTAGTAATACTCATTTTTAAAGACTGACTTACTGATTTTAGTGTGACCATTGTCACATCAAGTCTCTATATATGTACAAATAGAAGATGAAGTATATATAAATCTTGTATAAATAGAGATGAAGTACAGCTGCCAGCCCCAGTTTATATTCGATCATTCCTCTATAGTAACTAAGTAAAAACAAAAGTCTATTCCAATTCCATTCTTTAAAACAAATGACAAAGATGCTTCGTGATAGTTTGGTTTGTGATTGGGTTTTTAAAATATATTTGTGGTTACATTCATATGCAAAGTTCTTTTATATTTTCATTTCCTTTTTCTGGAGACCTACCATCCTTTTTTAAAAGAACAGACCTGGGCATGGTGGTTTGTATCTGTCATCCCAGCATTCAGGAGACTGAGGCTGGAGGATTGCTACAAGTTGGAGCCTGCCTGGCCTTCGTAGCAAGATACTGGTTTTTTGTTTTTGTTTTTTGTTTTTTTTTAAGTTGGTGGGGAGGGAAGAGAGGAAAGAATGAACCCGTTTCTCACCTTTCAATAGAGGTATTTATAGCCAGGTAACGAGGTCACTGGAATATACTCGGGTATCTGATTGCATAAGCACTGCGTAGAAGAGGCCCAAGCCTCTCACCATGCCACCCAAAGTGACCTGTCATTTACTCCTGCTTTCCTAGACATCCATGGTTGCGTCCCCACAGTCATGCCTGACTCTTCCCCAGTGTGTAGCTCATGTCTAGGTCACAACAACAGATTTTTTCGGTGTCTTTCTGCAGCCTTCCTTCCTGCTTTCCATTGATACCACCTTCATGCCAGTGCTCTTTACCTCTGGACCAGTCTAACTGGTCTCCGGCAACTCCTCCCACTCATTGTCTTGCATGGTAAGGTCCAGGAGTCCCCTGCAGCACCAAAGAGAACCAGTCAGAGTGGACTTTTTCGCTGCCCCTGGATGCAGTCTGTCTGTCCTCCATCCTCTTGCTGGGAAGAGTAGTTAGTTGCCCTGCTTGCTGCCTTTCCTCCACCCACCCCCAAACCGACCTTTCTGTTCTTCTTGTTTTCCCAGACATGAGCTGACTGAGCTACCATTTCCACTCATCAGCACAAACCCGCCGCCACTGCGTCATCATCCCTTTTCTCTGTGTTCAGTAAGAAAATCGATGCCCTTGATGGACAGGGAGTAGGTCTAAAGCCCCGGCACCTCTCCCCCCAGCAACCTTGGTAGACACTATTGGACTAAGGGATGAAGGTGGACTTTGGCATGACTCAAATTTGGCTTTTAATTCCATTTCTGTCTGGTTATATCTTTATTTCCTCATATGAGATAGGCAGGATTATAACCCTTTCACAGAAGTTTTGAAAAAATCAAATAAAACAAATATGTGTGAAATGTGTCCTGCGTGATGCCTGACATGTAATAAATAATGAGTGGCAGTCATCCCTATAGTGGTTATGCTCATGCCAACTGCTCAGTTAATGTTTGTCAGTCACCGTGAGCCTCCAGGAATTTAGTTTTCCCTCTTCATTGCTCAGATGATTACAAACACTGTTATGATACCACCATCAGTCTGTGTGTGTATGTGAGGTGCGTTTAGAGGTGCTTGCCTATGTCTGTGGAGGCCAGAGATCAACACTGGCTGTCTTCTTTAGTTTCCCTCCACCTTGTTTTTCTGAGACAGGAGCTTCCTGACTTGGCTACACTGGGGTATGCTCCAGTGAGCTCCAGCGGCCTACCTGGCTTGCCGCCATTGTTTCTTGTCTGTGTATGTGCTAGTATTATGTCACATTGGCACAAACTAAGTCATCTGAGAGGAGGGAACCTCAATTAAGGAAGTTCCTCCATAAGTGCTGGGCTGTAGGCACAGCTGGAGGGCATTTTCTTAACTAGTGATAGATGGGGAAGGCCCAGTCCATTGTTACTGTGGGGATATCCCTGGCTGGTGGTCCAGGGTTCTATAGGAAACCAGGCGGAACAAGCCACGAGGGGCAGTCCTAGTAAGCAGCCCCCCATGGCCTCTGCACCAGCTCCTGCCTCCTGGTTCGTCCTTGTTTGAGCTCCTACCTTGACTTCCCTCAGTGATGGACCGTCTCTTAGAAGTGGAAGCTGGAATAAACCTTTCCTCTCCAGGTTGCCTTGCTCATGGTGTTCCATCGCAGCGCTAGAAACCTTGACTGAGACAGTGTCAGTAAGAGTCAGGGAAGCTGAAGATTAGGTGTTTGGTTGTTTAGAGAAACAGCTCATTCAGGAAAACAGAGGCTGCTTCCATTTCATGAAGCTGCCTTCCTTCGCCCTCTCTCCTTCCACGCCTCCTCCTTTTATTTTGTGGTTCTAGGCTTTGAACCTCATACATGGTATGCAACAAGAAACATTCTTTTAGCACAAAATACTATGCTCTCATACAAGGAAAATAAAATTCTAAAACTAAGAATACATAAAGTGGGAGATTTAAGAAAAACGAGTCTTTGACGTCCCATATCAGGTTCTCTGACGGTTGGCTATGTGGTGACACACACCTATAATCCCAGCATTTGGTGGGCTGGGACAGGATGATGGTGAGTTTGTGGTCAACCTGGCCTAAACAATGAGATATGTCTCAAAACAGCCACGACAAAAAAGCATCTTTCATTTAAATATGAATTAACCTATTTCAGAAATTAAAATAGCTTATAAGAAAAATGAAACTTAAATTACTTATAAAACTTAGAGAAGAACTAAATGTTTTAAAACTTGCATGTTGGGGCTGTGGAAATGGTTCGTAAAATGCTTTCCATATAACCAGAGGACCTGAGTTTGTGGGTTCTAGGGACCCACATTTAGAGGGTGTGGTGGTGCGTGCCTGTAACCTCAGAGCTGGGGTATGTGGACGCAGGCTGAATGGGCAGTCTAGCCAAATTGTTGGGTGTCAAGTTCATGAGATACCTTACCTCAAAAAATAAGATATGGAGTGACTGAGGGAGACACCTGATACTGACCTCCACATGTCCATATAAGAAAACATACACACACGTGTGTGTCCACACAACATTCCCGGCAGAGTGTCAGAATGTGCGTTATAACAGGAACATCAGACCCTAGTGAGGCTTGCCCCGTCCTGACGTTAACAAACAGCCGCATGTTTGTCCTTAGAGCTGCCGTGCTGGAATATTCTGAGGACACGACTAAAGCAGCCAATGGTGGCTGGCTTGTCCCACAGTCGGATTTAAACAGAAAGCCTGTAGAAATTGCAGGGCGGCGCTCAGCACCAGGAACACAGAGCGACCTTGACATAAAAAGCACAAAAACCACAGAGCGAGCCTGACACAAAAAAACGGAGCCTGACTCCGTGTGACGTGGAGTCAGTTTGTATGTCTGCCTTGACCTAGAATGGGAGATGGAGCCCTCGGCCACATGGGCTCTGCCTTCCCCACTTGTCAGAGTTTCACTCCCTTTTTTTTTTTTTTTCCTTTCTTAATAGGGACCACGTGCAGTGGTCTAAAGAAGAAGAAGACGCAGCTAGGAAGAAAGTAGAGGAAAATTCAGCCACACGAGTGGCCCCAGAAGAGCAAGGTAAAGCTGGGCGCCCTGTGGGGTTACACGTTTGAGAGCTCTTAGCTTCCACCCGGCCAGGCCACCCATTGCTGCCTTTGCTGGGCTTCCCCGTTCTTCCTTGTTGTGGAACCAAAATTAATGAAATAAATTACGCATTCACCCTGTAATTGGTCTTTTGGTAGTCATATTGCTTTTTCTGGGAGACATACATATGGGTGGCATTTTAAGCAAGATATGAAAATGTAACTTTAAAATTTTCTTTAGCTACTCCACTTTCACTGTGTTACTGTGCATTTCACTTGCTAGAAACCTCTAACAAATTCATAAGCGTTGAGGAGGAAGAAAAAGTCATATGGAAGTATCGCTGGCCTTTTAGGATAAGGGACTGTGTGTGTAGTGTGGACTCACTCATGTGTCTCTGTGTGGAAGTCAGAGATCAGTTTCAAGTGTTTTTTTTTTTTTTTTTTAGACAACGCCTGTCCCTCAACCTTGAACTCTGTTTCAGCCAGACTGGCTGGACAGTGAGCTCTGTCTCTACCCCACCCCCTTGTGCACATTTGGTGTGAGTGGGGCATAGCCACTCTGGAAACCATTGGGCAGGCTCCTTAAATTAAAAATGGAGGGGCTGGAGAGATGGTCCGCTGTTAAGAGCATTGCTGTACTTGGCTGCTCTTGCAGATGACCCTGGTTCGGTTCCCAGCACCCACATGGCAGCTAACAACTGCTTGTAACTCCAGTACCGGAGACTCCAATGCCCTCTTTTGACCTCCATGGGCACCAGGCATGCATGGAGAATATTTACATATACACAGGCAAGTACTCATACAAATGAAATAAATCAAGGCTGGGGATTTAGCTCAGTGGCAGAGCAAGGGTTCAGTCCTCAGCTCTTAAAAAAAAAAAAAAAAAAGGAATAACAAATTAATCTTTTAACAAAAATTTAAAGTAGTATTCCCCTATAATTTATCAGTTTACTTTTAGGATAGACCCCAAAAGCTTCAAAGCACAGTCTCAAAGAGATAATATGTATTGCATGTTCACGGCAGCAGCCTCCGTGATAGGCAAAAGATAAACACAATCAAAACACAAATGTTCTGAAACAAGCGATACTGTTAAGTACTCTCCTGTTCATAAGTTAGAGACAAGTAAGTGTGGCCCTACGGGAAAGAACAGTGCGCTGTTCTACCTGGGTGTCAGGTAGCACTGTCCAGATGTTCAGGGACACGGCTTCAGCCTCTGTCCACTCCCCAGAGGTGGCCGGGGCCTGCAGCTACCGTAGATAACGGATAACGGAATGTGCTGCATGGCGGTGACTCAAGGGCTGGTCGGGTGGAAAGCAGGAGCTCTGTAATGGGAAGAGTTAGAGTTGGCATGCTGGAAAGATTGCAGAGGTCTGTTTCACAACAACGTGAACACACCTAGCGTTATGGGACCATGCACTTAAGAATGGCTAAGATGCGTCATTTTATGGGTTTTTACCACAATTTTTAAAAATATCACACTGAAAAACTTTTTTCGAAATGGTCAGTGTCCTTCACACCGTATGACTCCTAGTCACTTCGCCTAACTGCTGCTCTCTCTGTATGCCATTTTCTACCTTGTTTTTCTTAAAATGACCTTTTTCTTTAGAACATCTCCTGCCTCCCTCCTTTTGTTGTTTATGTGTTTGTGGTGTGTGTTTAGGTATGATTATGTGCATGTCTGTGGGTCCTATTTACATGCTATTCACCCTTTATGGGGAGACGGTCAAGCAGGGTTTCTCACTGCCTATGCCTAATCAAGGAGGCTGGGCTGCCTTGCCAGGGAGCCCCAGGGACCCACCTACCCTGCCTCTTTGTTACAAGGATTATTAGTATGTACTCCGGTGCCAGATTTTGTTGTTGGTTGGTTGGTTTTTAATGTGGATTCTGCCGATCCACTCAGGTCCTCAGGCTTGAGATACAAGCACTTCTCTCCTGAGCCATCTCCCCAGATCTGCCCCTGCCTCCCTGGTACCAAGCTACAAACATGTACCATTGTGCTCAGCTCATTTTAACATGAGCCCTGGGATGCAGCTCCTCACAGGGCGAGCGCTTTACCAACTGAACAAATTCACTGTGCAGCGCTGGCTGGCCTAAACTCAAAGCGTAAACCAAAGCAGCCTGGAGTTTGCAGTGATCATCCCTCTGCCCTCTGAGTGCCAGGAAGGCTGGATTAATAGTTCCTTAGAGCTAAGCATGGCGGTACACGTCTGTAACCCGAGCACCTAGGAGACTGAGACAGGAGGATTGCTACAAGTTTGAGGAAAGCCTGAGCTGCATAGTGAATTTGGGGCCAGCCTGTGCCCACCTAGTAATATCCCATCTCGTAAATCAAAAATTAATAATTTGTTGAAGTACCAAATAGGTACAGAAATTTATGTAATTCACAAAAAAGTCCTCACAGTTTGTGCTGGTTTTCACATCCACATAAGCAGCATCTACATGGAGAATCAGAAAGTTACCAGTGGCACAGCAGCTTCCTTGTACTCCTGATCAACATTATCACTCCTTCAACTCCATCAATGCTATTCCTCCTCCAACCCCCACACCTCTCAACGAGCAGCTCCGGTCGTGGCTTCTGATGTCATGGCTTTGTTTGGGTGCACTTGCTCTGCTTTCCTGATCACTGCTTCGGCAGTGGCCGTTTCAGAGCAGGCCACAGTCACCAGACTGGAGTGCCCACGCACCACATCCGCATCACTGAGTTTGGGATTGGGGGAGGGGTGTTTATTTGGGGGGGGGGTGTTTACCAGTGTATGTAGGTCTGAAGTTGATGTCTATGTCTTCCTCAGTAGCTTTCTTTTTTTTTTTTTAAGTTTGTTTGTTTTTTTTTTTTTTTTTTTTAAGATTTATTTATTATGTATAGTGTTTTGTCTGCATGGCCAGAAGAGGGACCAGATCTCATTGTGAGCCACCATGTGGTTGCTGGGAATTGAACTCAGGACCTTTAGAAGAACAGCTAGTGCTCTTAACCTCTGAGCCATCTCTCCAGCCCCCTCAGTAGCTTTCTACTTTATTTACTGAAGCAAGGTCTCTTGCTGAACTTGGAATTTGCAGATTTTGGCTAGCCTAGCTAGCAAGCGTGCCCCTGGGGTCTCCTCTCCCTGCCTCTCTGGTACTATAATACAGCAAGCTGCTGCACCTTTTACGTGGGTTCTAAGAATCTGAATTCTGGTCTGAGGTATTGAGCTCTTGCACAACCAGCATTTTATCCACTGAGCCATCGCCCAGCCTGCAACATGTTTTTATAAATATTTTTAATAGAACACAGACGTGTTCATCTGTTGGTACACCGTCTGTGGTTGCTTTTGAGCTGCCTGGTTCAAAAGAAACTGTAAATGTCACATAAAGACTAAATACCTGGGCAGTGATGGCACACACCTTTAACCCCGGCACTCAGAGGCAGAGGCAGGAGGATCTCTGAGTTCAAGCCTCGCCTGGTCTACTGAGTAAGTTCTGGGACAGCCAGAGCTGCACAGAGAAACTCTGTCTCAGAAAACCTAAATAAACAACAAAACAAACAGACAAATGAAAAGACTAAATACCTTTCTGTCACTATTTAGAAAGGCTCTTTCAAAGCTGGAAGTCTAGGTTGACCAGCTATCCAGAAACTCTCCACGGAAAAATGTTTACACTCCTCCTTGTAAGGTACATAGTGAAAATCAGGAGAAGCACAGTTGAAATGATGCTAGTTGGTAATTGCTGAAGCAAAGGTATCTGGAGAGACTGAGATAATGAGACAACCAGCCTTTAGCTGGCAGAGGAGCCAGTGCCAACCTACCTTGCTCTCTGGAGTCATTAGTAACCTAGCATTTCCTCTGGCATTGTTTGTTATTCCTTAATGGCAGTCCTTCATCCTCAGCATGAGCGAGAGTAACCTGGGGCTGGACAGGAGACGGGCCCCCTGACCCCAGTGGAATTAATTTGATTTTTATGAGTTCTCACTGGGCAGTCCTGGGGTGGAATACAGCCAGGGAGTGTTGGGGTTGGACATGAGAGTACATACCAGGGGCGGTGCTGCCTTCAGTTCGCCAGCATCGCATTCCTTCACAGGCGCTCTGTCCCTCTCTCCGAGGAAGTAGAACTTCACTGCTTTGCCAGCAGCTGTGCAGACATATTTTCCACGTTACTCAAGCTTCTGCTAGTGGCCACCTGGATATGGCAGAGAACCCAGCCTGGACTAAGTTCACCATTATCAGTTGTTTGAATTTATTTCCAGGAAATTAAAACTTATGCACAGTATTATCTGCACATTATCATAATAATATAAAAAACAGGGATTTCTTTTTTTACTTCCTTTTGAATATTTCTGTTGAGAACTTAAATAGAGCAGAGCTGATAATGTTAAAGTTCTCTGTGCATGGCCGCCTACTTTGTCCTATTTGTATTAACAATGAACTTGAGTGAAGCTAATGAGAAGGTTATTTTAGAGCCTCAGAAACCACAGTAAAGGAAAACGACAGTTCCCACAGAACCATAGCGTGACTAAAATAGAAAGGTGGTGACTGGCCTCTCTATAGAAGAGAAAAGGCAGGCACGGGAAAGCTGACGGTACCACTTTGAGGCATTTGATTTGCTATTACTATGACAGTCTTTTCTAAGTTTTTCTGGCTACTGTGAAGATACAGAACTAAAGAGTCTGTCTCAAAATGACTCAAAGAAGTAGAGATTTATTCTGGAGCACCACTTCATCCCTGCTAGTGCACTGGGCTCCATGGTGTCAGGGAACCACTGCAGGAAAGGCCCCGAGGTATAGTGCAGAGAGAAGCTCAGGCTGCCAAGAGGGAGGCAAAGAAGGAAACTGGTCTGAGGGACTACAGTGAATGACAAGATGTTCCAGGGGCAGCCACCCAGCAGTCTGTGCCAGGGGTTGAAGACCCCACACAAGTCTCGGGTGAGGCTTCTCCTTCACTGTTTCAGGCCTCTGATGAGAATGGGTCAAGGGAAATAGATCACTCTGTCCGCCCCCAGACTTAGTGAGAACCCTGAAGAAGCTAC